CCCCGGGGGCCCCCGCCTGGGACGGGATTTGCTTTGCGCCCCAGACCATCGTTTGGCCCCTTCTTCTGGTTTGTCCTCTGTGTTGAAGGGGCTTGTAAATAGACTTGTTTGTTTATTTGTCGTCGGGACAAACACGTCAAGTGGAACATGCGGCATTTTTGCTTTGCAGAAGAGAACTAAAGTGCTTTTGTCTTGAATTAGAGAGTTAAAGTACTTCTGTCTCGAATTAAATCCTGGAAAGGCGAGAAAGCAGTCCCGCGGGAAGACAGGCACAGTAGAGCTCCACGGATTTGCACTAAACTGCGTCAGTCGCGAGTGCCCAGCGATCCTCTCAGTCGCCAGCACAACCAGATGAAGTAAATTCAAATTCGCGGAAACGCGGAAAAAAAGAAGTCGGAAACATCATCTAGAAAGGCGTAGAGCCTCGGGTTTCCGCCGGCCGCGCGAGCTGCACATACACCTCAGATGCGCGTGAAGGGGCGGCGCTGCGGCGCCGATCTGCACTTTATTTGCAAGTTTCCGGAGAAAGGCGAGTGCAGAACTTTTAGGAAATGACAATTCTTGTTTGTTTTTGCGTTTTGGCCGCTGCGACGGCCGCCGGAGCTGCGGGCGACGCGAAAATTGCAGGTTCGGAGTTGCACTACGAGCCGCGGCACCCGGAAGTTCTCGGTGAGAAACTGAAGGAATCTCGGTCAAAAAAGCAGCATTTGACTTCGTTTTGCGTCAGACTTGATGCCAAACGACTTCGGGCCCGTCCGTAAGCGCCAGCAGCAGCACTTCGCTGCTTCTTTCGCGTTCAACTTTTTCTGCATTTCCGCTCCGGCCCGTCCCCGCTGCAGTCGGGCCCCCCGCGCAGCCCGCGAAAGAAACGCCCCTTGCTGCACCTGCAGCAGCAAATGTGCGGCTGGGGGGTTCTCTCGAGCAGCTGCTGCGCGAGGGCGGGCGCGAGGGCTCTTCGTTTCAAAAGACCAAGAAGGAGTTTGCTGCTTACCTCGTGAAGGTGAGCTGCTGCTGCTGCTCCCCAAGCAGCTTCCCTCGCTGCTGCCTCGCGGGTCTTTGCCTAATTCTGCAAAGCTGCCTAACTGCGCCTAAGTGCGCCCAACTGATCTGCTGCTGGTGCTGGTGCTGCTGCTGCTTCTGCTGCTAACGCTGACCTTTCCTGCTGCTTCTGGTGACCTGCTGCTGCTGCTCAGTTCGAAGCGCTGGCTGCGAGGAAGACAGTTGTGCTGCAGGTGAGCTGCTACTGGTGCTGCTGCTGCTGCGGCTTGCGGGCGAATCTGGCTTTTGCTGCAGCTGGACTTCTCGCCTGCTGCTGCAGCACGAAGGTCTCAAGACATTTGAATTAACATTTGTTGGTTTCTGCGGACTTGGCAGAAGTGCAAACTTTCCCTCAGTGACCTGTGTCTGCTGGAGGCAGCAGCAAGAAGCCCCCTGGCTTGGAGGGATCGGCAACTACAGAAACAAAGAAAGCAGCAGCAGCAGCAGCAGCAGCAGCAGCTGCTGCTGCTGCTGCTGCTCTTCTTGCTGCGCTCGCGCTGCGCCTTTTGCTTCTTGCTGCAGCAGCTTCCGGCGGCCTCGCCGCCCGCTGCTGCTGCTGTCGCAGTTGCGACTTTGCGGCGGCGCCGTCGCCACGCTGAACAAAAATAAAATGGCGGCGCCGCCCCAGCAGCAGCAGCAGCAGCAGCAGCAGCAGCAGCAGCAGACGCGCTGCGCGCGTCACTCCCGAATCACTTCAGTCCCACTCTTGACATGAACTTCCTTTGCTTCTTTCCGCAGCACTGAAAAGCCCCGCAGCGCCTCCACGGGAGCAGCAGCAGCAGCAGCAGCATCAGAAAGCGGCTCAAACGCCCACCCCGCGTTGCGCACTGACAAACTCTCCACCACCAGCGACGCCCCTGCAGCAGCAGCAGCAGCAGCAATAGCAGTAGAAGCAGCGGCGGCAGTGTAGCTCCCGCAGCGGCAGTGGCAGAAGCGCCCGCAGCAGCAGTGGCACCCGCAGCAACAGTAGCAGTAGCTGCCGCAGCAACAGCAGCAGCTGCTGCGGCAGAAGTAGCAGTAGCAGCAACAACAGCAGCAGCTGCTGCTGCAGTAGCAGTAGCAGCAACAGCAGCAAGAGAGAGAAGCCTCTGAAGTGGCCAGCCTAGACAGCCTTAGGGATACTGCTGCCGCGCACCGCCCGCCAAAACCTGAACTTTGGAAGTGGAAGATGAAAAAGAGAAGAACGAACGAAAAGAAATGAAAATAAAAAGAAATGAAAAGAACTGACTCACCAGGGTCCGCCTTCAGCAGCAAAGCGCCGTCTAATTCCAAATTGTGAATTCTGACATCTCCAGAAATGACCAGCGCCGAGCTGAGCAGCAGATACACCGCAGCGCAATCTGCAAAGAGCTGCGCGGCGCGTTTCCAGTCGGGAAAGCTGCACTTTTTGTGGCAGTTTGCATGCGAAATGGAATTAAAAAGGAAAATAAAACAAAACGAAGTTTAAATAAAGCGAAAGAAACCAAAAGGAGCCCCGGAAGCTCCCGAAACCCAGACGGACTCTTGCTGAATCTGCACGTTGGCGCCCTGCAGCTTCTCCTTCATCTGCAGCAGCGAAATCGCCCAGGAAGGACACAGGACAATTTTGGGGCCCATTTGGTACTTAACGCCTCCGAAGCAAACGGGCTTGGGCTCCGCAATGACCACGGAGCCGCTGCTGCTGCCGCCGCTGCTGCTGCTGCTGCTGCTGCTGCAGGCCACTGCCAGCTTCATCCACTGCGCGTTCTGGTAGTACAAATCCGCCTCGCCACTCAGCGCCGACTCCGGCGGCAAATCGCTCGCGGCTTTCTTGCGCGCGTCTTCGACGGAGTTCTTGACCGGGCTGAAGCAGCACCAGCGGGGGAGCTCCACGAAGCCGACCTGAATCGACATTTAATTAAATAATAAACAACAAATAAATTAATAAATTAATAATAATGAATAAAAAGTAGGTGAATAGTGAAGGGGCTTTTGCATGCAACTTCGGGCTTTAGTTCAGCCAAGAGCCCAACGAGGAAACTGGAAATCAACTGCCGCAGCAAGACCGTGGAAAGGCAGCCAAAATCAAAATGAAGTTAAAAATTAAAATTAAGAATTAAAAATAAAATCAAAATAAATAATGAAATAAAGAATTAAAATGAATGGCGAAAATAAAGAAATAACACAAAGAATTAAAATAAGAGTGAAAATAAATGAAAACAAAGAAGAGAATAAAAGCCCACCTTGTCTTCAGGCGACAGCTGCAGAGGCAAGTCCTGCATCATACTTTCGAGTCGGGCGGGGGACTTGAAGGAAGTTTTCGTTTCATCCTGAAAGTCCAAACACAAAAAGCAGCACAATAAGAGGCCCCCAGCAGCACAACTAATCAAAGTAAATGCAGCAGCAGCAGCAGCAGCAGCAGCACAACTAATTAAAGCAAATGCAGCAGCAGCAGCAGCACAAGGTGCATTCAAAAAAGCTGCGAAAGGGTTTCAGTGGCTCCGGCTGGACGGCGTGGAGGCGCAGAGAGCTGCGTGCATGCAGAAAGGGTTTTATTTAGTTTTCGATTTGAAATTAATTTAATTAAAAAATTAATTTACTTCAAGGAAATTCATTTACTTTAAATTTGGGATTTATGAACTCCGGCACAAGACCCCCCGAGCTCTCCAGAGCCTTCAAGTAAGGCTCCAGACTCAGCACAATCGCGTTGGTGTTTCCGGGAAGAAGTGAATAGCCTTCAGGTCCCGCTTTGTCTCCGCCTTTTCCCGTGGCCTACAAAAGCAAAATTGAATTAAAAAACAAAGCTGAACTTCTTTCCCGCAGCGCTGCAGTTGCTGCAGCGAACAGCAGCAAGGCTGCAGTTTGCTGCAGCTTTGCTGCAGCAGCGCCAGCGTCAGGGCGCCGAAACTGCAGCAGGACGCAGACTTCAAGAAGGGAAAGCAGGTAGAAAAGATCAGAATTAATTGGCAAGAAAGATGCAAACATTGCAGACATCTCTGAGGGAAGTCAATGCGCAAAAAACAAGGGAAGAAGCAGAAAAGAAAGCCGCGAAATCCGCACGGACAGCTACTCGGATCCGGGCTTTTGCATGCGATCTCAAGTGGCTTCTAGATCTCCTTTTCGTGTTTTTGTCGCCATATTAATGCGGAAAGAAGAATACCTTCAAGAGAGTGTCCAGCACGTTGTATTCCACGTTGAGAGTCAGCTCGCGGTTTGCCGAAACGAGGCGGCAAATGCTGCCAACAGCTTCCCCCGGCCTCCTGCAGCGACAAAACAAAAAGAGAAAGTGGGAATTAATAATAATGCGCGAATTGCTGAACAATTAATGGTTGATCATGGACTCAATCGCGCAGCTTTCCCACTTTCGCATTCGTTCAAGGAGCAGCAGCAGGAAAACGTGCAAGACACTGGAACTGAAGAGTTCGCGAACATGAGTTCGCCGCGTTGGCTTTTTGCTGTTGCGTTTAATTTATCGTTTATTCAGTCCTCGAGCTTTTTCGGGTGAGTTGGATCGGGCGGTTGTGTTCGCATTTGCACTTGCACTTGCACTTGCAATTCAAGTTTGCAGGTTTCCGCCCGGGGTTTCGCGCGCGGGTTTCCGAGCGCAGCCCGGCTGCCTTTGTGCTTAAATTTGCAGCTACTGCAGTTGCTGCATTTATTGCATTTGCTGCAGCGACTGCATTTGCTGCAGCCGTTGCATTTGCCGCAGTTGCTGCAGCAGCTGCAGCCGCGGCAGCTCGCTGGCTGCGGGGTGGCCGCGGCGCACCTGGGGACGGCGATGGAGTTCATGGCGAGCCCCCTTTGCTTGGAAACGCCGATGACGGCCGCGAGGACGCGCATGACTGCGGCGTTCGTGTCCTGCAGCAAAGTGACCCAGCGGATTCCCTTTTGCTGCCAGCTGCTGAGGAGGCCGGAGCGCAGCAGCAGCGAGTGGACGTCGCCGTGGCCGTGGGGCTTCAGCTCGAGCTGGAAGCGGTCGCGGGGGCAGGTGGCGAGTCGGGCCTGCATGTCGGCCAGCGCGGGCACCTTTTGCTGCTGCAGCAAATGCACTTCTTCTCTGTCGAGTCCGAAGAAGTCGTTGGCCTCCAGCAGCGCCGCCGTCGCCGCGTGCGTGTCCCCCGAGGTCATGATCGCCAGCGGCAGCCGCA